ATCATGTGTTTATATGCATTGCATTGATCTTAGGAGATGGACTTTATAACTTCCTCAAGATACTCTTTTTCACTGGAAGAAGCTTCCACTCTAGACTCTCCAAAACTAATAGCATCAACACATGTAAGTTATCTTCAAAATCTCTATCTGCGAAACCAATAACCATTCCGTATTCGATGTCAAAATGTATCCGATTGATTTTAGTGGCAGAAATTCCAGATGATGGCACTAAAGAATCCGAAAAACTGAAATGAGAGAACCAAGTATTCGTTAAAGAGAGCATTCAGCTATGGATGGCTTGTGCTGGATACTTATTCTTCTCCCTTATCTCCATCATTGCAATCCCTCTGATGTTCCCTCAGCTAATATGGTACTTCGTCCTCGCAGCTTACCTCCTTGCGCCGTCTCTGAGTTTCTGTAACGCCTACGGGGCTGGTTTAACCGACATGAACATGGCTTACAACTACGGTAAAGCGGAGCTCTTTGTCATGGCGGCATTGGCTGGTAAAAGCGATGAGTTAGTGGCAGGAATGGTCGCTTGTGGTCTCATAAAATTGATCGTCTCCGTCTCGGCTGATTTGATGCACGATTTCAAGATAGGACATCTAACGCTCACCTCACCACGCTCGATGCTTGTAGCACAAGCTATCGGGACAACGATAGGCTGCGTAGTTGCGCCGCTCACATCGTTCCTCTTCTACAAGGCATCTGATGTTGGAAACCCGCCCGGATGGTGACTACAAGGCTCCTTATGCAATCATGTATAGAAACATGGCCATTACCGGTGTTCAAGGTCTCTCGGCTCTACCTTGCATTGCCTAGAGCTTTGCTACGGGTTCTTTGCGTTTGCGGTTGCTGCCAACCTGGCAAGAGACCTCTTACCGGAGAGGCCATGGAAGTGGTCCCATTCCCAATGGCAATGGCTGTGCTGTTCTTGGTTGGTGGATCATATACATTTGATATGTGTATTGGGAGCCTCGTGGTTTTCGTTTGGGAGAAGGTGAACCGAAAGAAGGCAGATGGTTCCAGCTGTTGCATCAGGTTTGATGATATGTGGAGATGGTCTCTGGATTCTGCCTTTTTCATTGTTTGCTCTGGCTAAGGTTCGACCACCTATGTGTATGAACTTCACGGCGGCTCACTAGGGCGGACATAACCCAAACTCATTGCCGGATAAATGTCTATTAGTTGTGGTTAGGTTAGGAGTAGATAGTTAAAAGAGGGATTAAGGTTAACCACATTTAAACAAATGTCTTATATGGTATTAATAATTTTGAATAAAAAGGAAGAGAAAGAGTTGGTTATTCTATTGCCGTTCCCGGCACAAACACATACAAAAGTGAAAATGAAGGTAGCAATTATCTCCCAAGAATAGTGATGTACAAGGTGAG